CTTTTCTCTTCCTTGCTATAAGTACAAACCAGTAGAGTTTCAGTCTCGACAAGGACTTCTGGTTAGTGATTGGTATTTCTGGTTTTCACAGGCACTTGCAGTATGGAACGAATCCCCCCTCCCACTATGTTCATTGATAATTAAATGTTGTGTATTAAACCATTAATTGTAAGTCATTTTCAGCCGGGGGCTAGGGGGAGGGACCCTCTACTTTTTCTGCAAATATTCAATTATATAATATATAATGGAGGCACTTGGTATAGCCCCCCCCCCCGCCCTTCACACTTTCAATTAGTCCCCCTTTTAAATTTAATTTGTTTCCGACGCCCATGCAACTATATCATCTAATCCTGCAAAAGAGTATGAGCAGTAGGCCTACTGCAGTTTTAATATCTTCAAATAGCTTAATAAAACTATATAGTTTTTAAAAGGCTTAATCAAGACATTGTGCTGGACCTGTTCAACGCTGTTCGGGGGTTCGACTATGGTACTGTTTTTCTATTTTAAAATAATAAACTTACGTGGAGTCCTACTGCCCACAAAACACTGCAACGTATCGTGGTAAATTTGGCTAAACGCAGGAGCTTCTCGACAAACTCCTAGAGATACCTCCACCACCTCCTCAATCCTATCTGCCATTTTCTTGGCGCCCAGGGCGTATATTGTTTATAAGAAGTATTTTGATTGGTTTGTAATTAGAATTACGTCACTTTGATGGCTAAGTGAAAGGGATAAGTCATTGTGATCTCTCGCAAAATTATTTCTTTTTAAATTAAAGAGATATCTCTTTCACCTTTAGAGATATCTCTTTTTGAAAATATGAAGAGATATCTGAGTCAGAGAGATATCTCTTATTTTAAAGAGATATCTCTTGTTTAAAGAGATATCTCCTTTGTTTAGAGAGATATCTCCTTTGTTTAAAGAGATATCTCTCTAGCATAAAGAGTTATCTTTCTCGCGAGAAGAGATATCTTTCTCGTGTAAAGAGATATCTCTTTAAACTAAAAGATGTAATTGTAATTTTACAAGAAATTAAACCGGTATTTCTTGAATAAATAGTAAAAGGGCTTGCCATAAAAATCCCAACGTGTTCCAAATAAACAACTAAATATTCATAACGCAGCTATGTTAATGCTTTATAACAAGGTGGTGGCGTCTAATGTTATGCCACTTGTATTGTGATATCAACATGGCAAACTGATGTGCACTGAGTTCTTTAATGACTGCTGTGTTGTTATGATTTTATATCTATCCTGTTACAGACTTAGACACTTGAATTAAAATTAATAAACACTGTTTCAGCACTGATTTTTAAATTTTTCAATTATGTTTTTGTATCGGAATAATAAACCATTAAAGTAAACGGGACTGGGGAGTCGGCAAGAATACAGTTCCCCTTGAGCAAGCCTATTTCCCTAGGTGCAAGCACAAAAATTGATAGATATAACTCAATATTCATTATGCAAATTAAAAACAAACCTTTGCTTTCTTTCAGTGGTGATCATAAAAGATGTCCTAGACGCTTTCTGGATGAAGGAGCAGCCAAAATTATTTTCCGTGGAGTGACTTGGACCTTATATTTTCTTGGGGTAGGTGTGTGAACAATTGTCCTCTTTGTCCGAGTTGTACACTTTGTTGGAGCGGCAAGAACTTTACTACTTGTAGGCAAGGAAACGCTATCGTGATCTGAGGAAATTCTGGTTGATGTTGTGAATGTCGATGTCGAGACTTGTCTCGAAGAATGTAGAATATAGACTTTTCCTCTTCTAGTGCCTTAAGTTTGTTTTTTTTTTCATCATAGTCAATTTTTTTTTCTAATTTATTTAATTTGTTGAAGCATGGGTAACACACGTACCAGGATAGACTGTCATTTTCACACGGACTGTGATTTAAAACTTCCGACAGTTGTTTAAAAACTTTGAACGAAGGTGAAAATATTACCCTACGAAATTTCTGTGGCAATTGTCCCCCACACAATCGACAAAGTTCCATCTTAAATCATATGGAAGATAAACACATTCTTACACATGGTTTTGTTCGCCATCTTGCTTATGAATGAAAGCACATTTTTCGTGGCGTAATCTGCCAAGGGTTTGTGGGGAGTGTAACGGACCGAAACCCTTGGCTTGCGAAGATGTGTGTGTGGAGGGTTGGGGGGACATATGAGGGTTGTATGGAAAGTATATATATATATATATATATATATATATATGTGTGTGTGTGTGTGTATGTATGTATATCAGGATCATTTTTTTCGATTCTGATGCGTTTTTAGATGTAGCTATGTGTCAGATTGGGTTGTTTATCTAGAAAACACCCCCTTACTTGTGAAATGATACCACACTACAATAAACGGGTATCGGTTTGTATATATAAAACCTTTGGAAAAGGGTAAATTTCTATCCAAAAACAGCAAGTGTGCGGGTCTCAAATGCTCAATTTCTCATCTTGGTCAACCAAACAAGAAAAGGAGCACGGTGTGTACTAACTGCTGGGGAGAAGACCATTTAAGGTATAACTGCGAATACGAGGCCTGTTGTAAAGTTTGCAAGAACCCCGTTCATTCCCAAGCACGATTCATCTTCCAAGATAAAAAAGGAACGCAGTACACTGAGATAAGTGCCTGGCCTGGGAAAAACACTATGGGTCAAATTCTGACGGACATCATGAGATGGATACGGCCAAATCAAAACATAGCTTAAAAGAGCCAGTTGATAGGAACCGCAGAAATTACAGCAATTCAAGTAAAAATCATGAATGTTTAATGTGTTCTTAAACTTCCTGACATGTTCTTTAAAAAGAAATTTACAGTTTCTGTTAGATTTTTAGAACATTTCTTTTGTTGGAAATATGTTTTTTTCACAGATTATGAATGAATAACCTTGAAATATTGTCAGTAAATTTCCGTGAACTAATGGCTTCATGATACGAAAATATACGTAGATGTAATTCTTTTTTTACAAGAGACCCATTATGTCGAAAAAAAAATAATAAGATCAAATATGACTCAAGATGGGTTGGAAAGTCATTACATTGTTATAGTGACTCGTCATTTAGCCGAGGTGTCAGTATTTTATTTAAGAAAGAGTTGAATACAGAAATAGTTGAAAAACATGTATCTCATGACGGTAGAAGATTATTTTTAAAAGAAAAATAAATGAAATATATTCATTTATAAATATTTATGCACCAAACTGTAAAAGAAAGATGTTTATTTTTTCAAACATTGCATTGTTTTATACATAAACCAGAAGTCTCTGTTGAGACTGAAGCTCTACTGGTTTGAACTTATAGCAAAGGAAAAGAAAAGTACTTAAGCAGCTGGGATTTGAAATTTTACAACAGCAATAAATAGAAAAATGATCGTTGATAAAGTCTCTTTATGTTCTTAGTGTAGTCTACTTGTGTGCTTAGTTATATTGAAATCGGACCAAAACTGTAGGAGGAGTAGCATTTTGAAAGAATTTTACAGACATTTCTATTTTTAGTAACCACGGCAACCCGTTCATCAAAATTAAAATTCGATATACAGAATTATGTATCTTAGTGTAGTCTACTTGTGTGCCAAGTTAAGAAATCAGACCAAAACTGTAGGAGGAGTAGCATTTTGAAAGAATTTCACAGTAATTTCTACTTTTAGTAACCACGGCAACACTGTTCATCAAAATTAAAATTAAAATTCGATGCACAGAATTATGAATCTTAGTGTAGTCTACTTGTGTGCCAAGTTACATTGAAATCAGACCGAAACTGTAGGAGGAGTAGCATTTTGAAAGAATTTCACAGAAATTTCTAATTTTAGTAACCACGGCAATACCGTTCATCTAAATCAAAAACCGATAATCAGAATTAAGTATCTTAGTGTAGTCTACTTGTGTGCCAAGTTATACTGAAAACAGACCAAAACTGTAGGAGGAGTAGCATTTTGAAAGAATTTCACAGAAATTTCTATTTTTAGTAACCACGGCAACACCGTTCATCGAAATCAAAAACCGATACACAGAATTATGTATCTTAGTGTAGTCTACTTGTGTGCCAAGTTATACTGAAATCAGACCAAAACTGTAGGAGGAGTAGCATTTTGAAAGAATTTCACAGAAATTTCTATTTTTAGTAACCAAGGCAACACCGTTTATCGAAATCAAAAACCGATACACAGAATTATGCATCTTAGTGTAGTCTACTTGTGTGCCAAATTATACCACAGTCAATGACATCATAGGTCAATAAAAAGGTCACAGTCACTGACGTCATAGGTCAACAAGGTCACGGTCGTTTGCAGTCACGTGTTGAACCCAGGTCACCTAGGTCATCTGATAAGAGCAGGATAAGAGCAGGATTAACAGTCACGTGTTGAAACACCAGCTGATAAGATCAGAATTAACAGTCATGTGTTGAAACACGACCTCATTTAAAAAAACAAAAGGTCACAGTCAATAACTCCAATATATTAATTTCAATTTTTTACTAGATTTATAATTTTAAAAAAAACGAACAATGGAATACCAACAAACACAATACAAATGGGAAATTATAGTCTGGAGCGCACGCAAAAAAGATAAAAAATGGACATTACACGAGAGTGACTGGTTTAATACGAAAGAAGAATGTATCATCAACTTTAAAGAAAAAATCCAAAGAGGATACGACATTGCAGACAGCTGGGGGAGTGAAGAGTACATAATAAAACGTAAACATATGCCTGCAAAATATAGACCGTAAAAATATAATCATGCCTAAAGGACATAGGAAGAGAGTACGATTTGATGATAATACACAGACTTTTTATGTTCCATATGAAGAACGGAGGGGTATTTGGATGACGTATGCTATAAATAGAGCGCACTTTAAAAGGAGAATTAGCAACACTGAAAATCTTATTCAAACCGTAATACAGAACAAAATGTTATCTATTCAGAAAGGATTTTTAAACGACACCTGTGTCATTCAAAAAGGACAAGAGATAGATACCTTGTCTTAAACCAAGTTTATCTCTAGCACATATATCTACTTTAATAAACTTTTTAAAAAACCAACGTCTCACACCACACCTGGGTAAAAAATCTTATCTTTGAGTAAATACACGTGAGGGTCACAAGTGAACAACATAGTTACCTGCTGAAAAACATCTTTACCTTTGAATACATGTGAGTCACAACCTGATCAACATAGTCACCTTTTTTTTAAATTTGTATACACCCGAGAGCCACAGTCACGTGTTTTAAAATATATCAACCTTATCTTTGGGTCTGCACACGTGCCAGTCACAGTCACAACCTACAGTCACTAAAGGTCACACCCAAAAGGTCAACAAAGAGGTCACAGTCACTTATCACTGATCACGTTTAAAAGAACGTGACAAACTGACAGTCACAGTCACAACGTGATCATCATAGTCACGTGTTTAAAAAACAATTTATGTGTATAAATACGTGGAAAAATCTGACCACACTCACAAATTTTTACCAGTCTCAGAGAAAGTTAGACGAATCCAAACAAAACATGGAAGAATACCAGCAAAATCTCATTAAATCCAATTACTCCACACTGGTGAAGGAAATGAAGGCCATTCCTGTAGCTGGATATCTCAAGAAAGACCACATTATTACAGACGAAATGCAACAAGAAATACAGTTTGAAAAAACTACCTACAGTCGTAACAGGAAATTACTCAGCATCATTTTGAGAAGAGGACCCAAAGCCTTCCATGGGCTAAAGAGAGCCCTTTTAAAAGCTAGTCAACATAACTTAGCCAAGATGTTGAATAAGGAAGACAGCGAGCCCTCTGACTACCAAAAAAAGTTATCCATGACTCGATCTTTTCTCGTCAACACCGCAGAGAAAAGACAGAAAAACTTTGAATCATGCAGCTCAAATGTTCAACCTCAACAGTCTCAGGAAACACGATGCAAAATCAATTTAGACAACTTTAGTAAACTCTATCTCACAGCCCTGCCTTACCAAGCTGAAATCATGGTACACATCCGTCACTTTTCTGAATCTAACGGATTTCAATTCCCAACAAAGAAAGGGGTTGTCTTCCCCTTACCCCGTTGGCTGAAATTTGAATGTCTCCTGGATGAGATTGAAGAATATCTACAGAGCCATAGGAGCCAGGAAGATGAGATGAAGTGGCACATTGGCGGTGGTGTCTACGTTTCCCTATCCCCCGATTTCCCAACGGTAGACATTAGACACTACTGGAAACCAGATGATGCAAATGAACCAATTCCAACAAAGAAAGGGATCACATTGAACAGAGTAAAATTTGATAGACTTAGATCCGCAGTGTATGAATTACGTGAGAATGTGCCTGAACTGAATGACGCTCAAATATGTATGTTGAGCGAATCCCATCAAAGTCAGTTGGGGGTACTTGGTTGTCCAGAATGTTCCCCCTTCGGTTATGAAGCACATCAAGAGCCGATGGAAACTGAGCCAAGTGAATCCCAAAACTCACTGACTATTAATGTAGACTATGAATAAATAAGAATTCTTTTTTGTCATATAATATTTCTTAAAGACACAATCTTAACATGTATACCTGTAAACAAAAGCTATGTTGAATGAATGATATAAATATACAACATTGTCATAATAAATTATATGAATTAATTATACCACATATGAAAAACGTATCGCTTTCTTGTTTTTCTTTATATACATCTCTTAGAGGGTATCTAAATCATTTTAACTCAGAATGTCAAACTATGAGGATTATTTACGACAACTGTATTACACCCCTGGTAATCAAGGGGCATTCTCGGGTCCTGAAAAATTATATCAAGCAGTCAAAGAAAATGGAAAATACAAAATCAGTAGAGCAGAAATTAAGCAATTTCTAAACAACGAAGACGCCTACAGTCTACTCAAACCCACCCGTCAAACATTTCCACGCTCAAGAGTTGTCGTGAACACGATCGACTCCATGTGGGATGCAGATCTAGCCGACGTTAGCAACATTTCCAGCTACAACAATGGTTATAAATTTTTGTTGGTTATAATCGATATATTTAGCCGGTATTTGTTTATACTACCCTTAAAAAGTAAACAACATGAAAATATCATCAATGGATTTAAAATCATTTTCCAGAAGGGGAGAAAGCCGAATACCCTACGTACAGATAAGGGTACTGAATTTAAAAACCGCTGGCTTAAGGCATTTTTAAAAAAAGAAAATGTAAATATCTTGTACACACAGAATGAAACCAAGGCCAACTATGCAGAAAGAGTCATACGCACAATGAAGAATATGATGTATCGTTATTTTTTAAAAAATAGAACCTATGAATATACTAATATTTTACAAGACTTGGTAAAAACGTACAATACCAGACCACATAGGATGTTAGGGGGGTTTTCACCTGTATCAGTTAACAAGGAGAACGCTGGAGAAGTCAGATATACGAGCTACCTAACGAGGAAGAACAAAACCAAAGACAAAAAAACTAAGATACAGAAACCTGTACTAAAAATTGTTAAAAAGAAAAAGAGAAATCCATACAATCTAAAAATAGGAGATAATGTGCGTATAACAGAGATTAAACACCCCTTTAAAAGAGATTATCAACAAAAATGGACAGAGGAATATTTTAAAATCAGTCAACGCTACCTGAGAGATGGAATTCCTGTCTATAAGTTAAAAGATTTAGCAGACGATTCAATTGAAGGTACATTTTATCAATCAGAACTTCAGAAGGTTATCAAGCCAGACGATATTCTTTACAGGGTCGAGAAAGTACTTAAAAAAAGACGTAGAGGTCAGACTAAGGAAGTATATATAAAATGGGAAGGGTGGCCTAATAAATTCAACTCCTGGATTTCTGAAAGTTCCTTGGAAAAATTCGAATAAAATACCTAATCTACAACCAACTATGTTCATTTTCACGATGAGTATCCGTATGTTATTATCGTCTGAAGACAGCTCTGAATATTTTCAAAACAATCCCAACAATTTTACAATCCAGTTGAACAAACAAATTCAATTTGATGGGTACTGGACCGTAGCTTTAACCGAGTTCAATGTGGAAAGCTGGCTTTCAACATCCAAAATACACGAAGTTTTTGTATGCTGTAATATTTGTGAGGAAACCATGGTCGGAAGTAAAGAAATGCCTCTATTAAGGAAGATTTATTTAGAACAAAAAACAACCGGCAATATGATTTTTACATTACCATATTATATTCCGGTAAAAATAGCTCAAATACATCAGATATCATTGTATATAACGGACAAGGACGGTAAATTAGTTTCATTTTTAAACGGAGCGGTGAACATATCACTTCACTTCAAGAAGTTTCCTTACATTTTATGATGAACAGTCAAACGTATGTGAGCGACCCTAAAATATGGGAGGCATTTTACAAAAACATGGCTGAGAAAAAATTTAATCCCTATAATTATAAACCTAAGCATATAGGTAGAAGTATGAAGACACGAAAATCATATGTCATCCCTATTAGACCTCACTCACAACTGGAAAGCCAACAAAATTTCACACAAGTAACACCCTTGGCAGCTGTAGAAGAACGTGCACGAGTGGAGCATACCAGCGATGTTGAAAAGGGAAATCCTCATGTCAAACTAAAAAGTGGTATAAAAAGCCAACACAAACAGCCATCTGTCAGTCCTTTAAAGGATCTGAAACGGGTAACATCATCCAAGAATAAGATTAAATCCGTCAGGAAACATATCTACAAGCTCCCAGAAGAAAAAAGTTATTAAACAGAGAAAAAAACTCATATCATATGTCATCCCTATTAGACCTCACTCACAACTGGAAAGCCAACAAAATTTCACACAAGTAACACCCTTGGCAGCTGTAGAAGAACGTGCACGAGTGGAACATACCAACGATGTTGAAAAGGGAAATCCCCATGTCAAACTAAAAAGTGGTATAAAAAGCCAACCATCCAAGAATAAGATTAAATCCGTCAGTCAACAGAGAAAAATTCGAAACATATCTACAAGCTCCCAGAAGAAAAAAGTTATTAAACAGAGAAAAACTCCTAAAAAGCCAATATCTACAAAGGCAAAAGTACTTGCCATCGACAGTTACAAGAACATATTCAACGAATAAAAAAAGATGGCCTTTTTAAGCAGGGACGATAAAGATATAGCTCAACCAATGGAACTTTCATTATTTGCCTCTCCCACTAATCAAGTAGCGGTTGAAAAAGTCTACTTTACGGAAGCAAGACCCATTTCCAGCCTCAGTGCGGACAGTCCCATTGAGATGGTAATTTCTGGGGCTGGAGCGGAATATATTGATTTAAAGCGAAGTAGATTATATGTCAAAGCCCGGATTTTAAAAGCCGACGGTACATCTTTGACAGCCAACGAAAAAACAGGCATCATCAATTTGCCATTACAAAGCATGTTTTCTCAGATGGACGTTTATCTAAACAACAAGCTAGTATCTTTCAATACGAACAACTACCCCTGGAAAAGTTATTTGAAAACAATATTGTTCAGCGGTAAAGACGAGCTATCTTCACAAAAACAATCAGAGCTCTTCTTTAAGGATGAAGGCAACTTAAGCGATGCAAATGCCTACAACGGGGGAAATGCCGGATTGGTACTACGTTACGGGTACACACAGCAGAGTCAAACCTTTGAATTAGAAGGAAATTTGATGGAAGACATATTTGACATAGATAAATACTTAATCAACGGGGTAGATATTTACATTAAACTGTTTAGATCCAGTGCACCATTCGTAATTATGTCAGCTGCCACTTCACCCTCCTATAAGTTGGAATTACAGGATGTTGTCTACAAAGTAGCTAAAGTCCGTGTAGATCCTGGTATTTTACTAAATCATACCAAACAAATAGAAACGACTCCTGTCAAATACCCCATCACTAGGAATGAATTGAAGATGAACACAATCCCAAAAGGCTCGACTGAATTTTATTGGGATAACATTTTCCCACAGGCAATACCGGACCGCCTGGTTGTGGCCTTGGTTGATCAAAAAGCTGTCAACGGAGATTACACCAAAAATCCGTTCAATTTTGAACATTTAGACCTCACTGATGTAGGAGTATACATCAATGGAGAAAGTGTTCCAGGAAGACCCTTACAGACGGATTTTACGGCTGGACATTTTTCCACAGCCTACACACGACTGTTTGAAGCTTGCGGAAAATGGAATCGAGATGAAGGTCTAATCATTACCAGAAGCAATTTTGGTAACGGATATTCCCTTTTTGTGTTTACCATAGACCCATGTGGATTTGGCGAGGAATATCTTAACCTGATCCGAAGGGGTAACACCAGACTGGAATTGAAATTCAAACAAGCAACAACCAAAGCTGCCAACGCATTGGTGTTTGCCACCTTCTCTTCTTTGTTAGAAATAGACAGATCACGTGAAATAAACTATATTCAACCATGAATTCTAAACAGCTCCACGATCTAGTGGAAAAGGACCCATGTCTACGGAGAGTTGTAAAAGGAGTTTATGCTAGCAATACCCTACCAAAACATGTTCAACAATATCCTAGCGCGTTCATTGTGAACAATCAACCGCTTCCATTTCCGGGTGAACATTGGTTAGCCATTATCATACACAGCCCATATCAATCAGAATTTTTTGACAGTCTTGGGAAGCCATTGACTGCATACAGTCACCATATAAGAGACTTTATTGTTAACAATAGTAAACGTTGTGATATGAAAAACACAAGACTTCAATCCATAAACTCTAACCTCTGTGGAATTTATGTATTGATGTTTTTAATTGTACGATTGTGTTATAAACAATCACTGATACAGTTATACACCTTATTTTCCGATGACTATCAATTCAATGATCATTTTGTTCAGAACTTTGTATTTCGATATTTTTTTAATTAAACTAATTTCAATGAAAAAAGTGTTTTTTTTCTATACGAATTGGATTTCCCATGCTTCAAAATCACAATCCTAGAGGTTGACGAAGGCATAACATGGAAACAAACGACAGCGAGTGGTGGAAAACAAAGTCTTTGCTTCCTTTCTCTGCACCAACTACTATTTTGATATGTGGTAGTACCCAGAGCGGGAAAACGTATTTTACAAAACAGTTGCTAGAAAAAGCTAATGAGATGTTTACAATGCCGGTGGATAAAATAATATATGCTTATTCTGAGCATCAAAATATGTTCCACGACATGGAACAATCAATACCCACTCTGGTATTACATCAGGGATTACCCACAAAGGAAGATATAGAGAAGTATACAGAAGATGTGTGTCATACAATCATCGTTTTAGATGACCTTATGTTAAAGGTTGCACAATCTCAAGACTGTGTACATCTATTTACGGTGACTTCACATCATCGCAATATAACCACAGTGATGCTTTCTCAGAATCTATATCCCCCCGGAAAATATGCCAGGACCATTTCTCTAAACTGCCTTAATGTGATCTTATTTAAGAACTACCGGGATTCACGGCAAATTATCACCTTCGGATCCCAAATCCTACCAGGAAATGTACCATTTTTTAAAGCGGCTTACGAATTAGCCACACGCCCTAACTTTGGTTACTTACTTGTTTGTCTGGAACCTACCCAAAACAAAGAATATCAACTGCGATCTCGCATTCTCCCTGGTGAAGACATGATTATTTATCAACCATTATAAATACTTTCAACAAATGGTTATGCAATTCATACTACGATCATGAAGCAAAGAGTGCGGAAGCACATTGCTCTCCTCCGATTTCTGTTGGATATAGACACTGCTCAGCAAAAACACATTATCAAATCGTTAACCGATGAGCAATGCGACGTAATCAGTGAAATAGCCCTCAATATTTACACTGGGACATACCCCTTGACAAAACAGTACATAAGACAACTTACACCTTACAAACCATTCATTCGGATGTTAGGATCCCGTGAAACCAGTTCAAAACGGAAACGACAAATATTATCAAAACACATACAGTTACTGTCTCTTATACTAAAACCGATTGTTCAACATTTCAATAAACGAAATGGCAAAAGAAATGATATTAATACCGAAACTAAAATACGAACACCTGAGAAGATTGCAGAATAATGACGAGTGTGTTCAAAGTGACATCTCTAATCATGAAGACAAGGAGATCAAAGACAAGTCTCTCAACTTATACAAAAACCCTCAAGAAGTAAACTCCAGCGTGGGGAATGAGATGCATGACTTACAGTCAGGAGGTGCTTACATCAGCAAGATAAAAACAGTATCTGGACCTCCAGGTCTTTCCAGAACAAAACAAAAACGTCAGAGAAACATTCCTTGGCTTACATATTAATTGTAAAAAAAAATAAATCAATAATTTGTATTCAACATTTTATTGCATAAAAGCTTTTCTAATAAAATTTACAAGAAAATGACAGCAATATGTTGTTTATTTTTTCAACCACTTAAAATCCAAATGGTAAGGTGTCTAAATTTGATAACAATCTACGTTTGGTATATACCATTTGGTAGTTTTTATTTTCTTTACGATTAAGCAATTTTCTTTTTCTTTTGTCTCGCGAGATTTTGCAAGGATTGTGAATCTCAATTTGTCTATCGTTTGCTGTACAAATGATGTCTTTTATGGCCTCAAAGTTGATCAATTTTGAGTTCATCCAATTCAAAGTAAAACCCCGAACTTTGCATTCCTCTTTACCAGAAAAGGTGCGATAAGCGTAATTTTTGGGGCCTCCGGATACAAATTCGATAATGTGGCCGTCTTTAGGATCGATTTCATTCGTCATTTCACCCAAATAATTTCCGATAGGGAGATAACTCAAGTCATCTGAATCGTGGGTTTTGAAAATGACACTATCCGTATCAAAGTACAATACCCTATCACCTAACACATTCAACACGCTATACAACTTTAGACGAGCCCACATTGTGGTAAATGAAGCCAAAAATATGTTGGTTTTTCGATCAAAGGGTGTAAACAGAGGGTGTTCATTCCATTCTAATTGTACTGTGTCCTTTGATACAATGTGAAAATTGTCCGGGATTTTTGTTGGATCAGATAAAATGCGGAATAAGACCTCGTCTTCACTTTCATGAATAAACATGGATTGCTTCATATTTAACCTTTGACCAAATTTTCCCCAGAAGCTGTTTAGACACAATTTGGCTAGACACCGCAAACCGGGGTTTTTCTGAATTTTATGGTATTCTAACCTGATCCCTTCTTTTTCTTGGTATTCTCTAATGTATTCTAGTTTTGCCTCCTCCGATTTGCACTCAGTAGGAAAGCCCGAGGCCTCTTGTTTGATTTTTAAGAATGTATTTACATATTGAGTAAAGAGACCCCCCGTGCCTGATACTCTGTCATATTGGGATGACTGCTCAAAATGATAAACTTCGTATATTTTTAAGATTTGATATCCCTTTGAAATTGCCATTTGGATTTCTGGTGTACACCACGTACCCGTAATACATCTTTCATGTATCGAACAATGACATTCATTTTGATTTTCAGTGTCAGCACATTTTTTACACAGAGGAAATTTTAGTTTTTGATTGGATAAATACGGGAGACAGGCGTGGTACAATCCACGGGGTGGTAGTATGGTCACCTTTGCCACTCCGAAATATTCAGACAAGTCTTTAAAATCCTCCGTGATGATGGTCGGGTGACCGACGGGGTATTTGCAATACTTATTCGTCCAAGGATAGAGACTCGTGAAATCGTAATATTGGATGGTTTCATTCTCAGTGGCTTTATAATGTAACTTCACAGCATTTGTCCGTCCACCGAAAAAACTGTCCCGTGGATCTAATCTATCCTGAATATCTAAGGTTGAGACGAATTGTCTTAATGCCGGATTTTTCTTTAACTGATAGTCAAAGTCGTGCTCCCATATAACGACCAGATCATAACCCAGTGCTTTCAGTTCTCTTTCCCGTCGTTTGGTCATGTCATATAATTGGTGAATCGACTGGTTCGTAGATGGGTGTTTAATGGTAAACCGATCGTGGATATAACACGATAAGCAACCGTGATAGGCACAGCTAAAAATAAAAGAAAAAAAGCATTAGATGGGTTACCGGTGCGCGGCCGCCCCTCCCCTCTTTTGGGGGCACATTAAATCATTTTTTTTCATTTAATATTTACCCGTAGAACTCGTAAATGGTGCCTTTTCCGTTCTCTTTTTCTAAAAACCCATCGCATCTGTAGTTAGTACCAGGTATACGGTATTCCCCCTTGTTGAGCGCATGTTGAATAAAGATCGGTTTTCCCCTATGTTTACTTTTCTCCATGAGCCACTCTAACCATTGGATTGAGACTTTGCTGTAATTATCTCTACCGTTGTATCCGGTTGAAGGTACAATGGCAATCGGAGTTGTAAATGTTTGTCTCCCGACTTGCAGGTTATCAAGTTTTTTCAAGTCAGACAATGACATCCATCTGTGGTTTAAGTACACCCCCTGTACCCCTTCCTTGCAGTGGATGTCGTGCCAAGTACACCCCGAATCTTGAATGATTTCAACCTTTTTTTCCTCCTTCAGAAAGAGAGTCTTGAAGATCCCCATACATACACTCGCTATTGTGACGTAGTCAAACGGATCAACACCGTGTGTGGCGGACGTTTCTTCCGTACCGTCTGGATGTACCACGCGAGTTTCCATTGTCGTGGCCTTAATCATCAGATCCCTGAATGCCATACATCCCCGCCTTAAGATATCGACATCAGAACGACAGTATTGCAATATTTCCTCTTGGAAATGGAACTGTTCATACATTTTACTTTCGTGCCATGTGGCAAGCTTTTTTCTCTCAGAGGTGGACATGTAATCATAACCATAATAGTGCAACTCAGGATAGGGACCCACGTAGGTTTGATTCTCTCTCGTGTTAAATAAATGTGGAAAATAACCTTTTTTGAGTTCTTCTAACCCAAACGCGTCTGGAATTTTAGCTAGTTTCATGGGAATAAAATTCAAGGAATCCAGAAATGTTAAATTCAATTTTTTGCTGATATGCATATACATGATCTTCGAGCCATTATACATAATTTTGTCTGGACGAATTGAATGTCGGTTGATCAGACACTCTAAAATAGGGTAGCAATCAAAGCTCTTGGAATTGTGAGCTAAAAAGATCGTATCCCTACAGTACTTGATAAAGTAAGAGCAAAATTGTTCCGCTGCATCATCTCCACGAAATACCTTTTCCCTATATCCACACGTACCAGGACAGGGTGAATGTAAAAAGCGTGATTTTTCCATCTGAGAACATTGTTCACATCGTATTCCGCAATTATTACACGTCGAATCTGTTTGCAATTCTTTATTTTCACAGACATGACAACAGGATTGTATGACGGCGAAGTTAACTTTGTGTTGGGGTAGACCGCAAGATGCATCCTGACAGTTCTGACAGAGCTTACAACTAACACACCGGTGTTCTTTTTGCACACACTGATGACATCTGATAGAAGGGGGGTTATACCCTTGATCACAATTAAAGATATCATCCTGACGCGTTTCAAAGTCGTAGAAAACAAATTTTTTTTCCCTTTTGTTAAGTGTAGATTTTTGAGCTCTTTGAAAACAGAGGTGTTTCTCGATAAAATACTCCTTGCAATTTGGACATTGCCATTCATGACAAACGTGTTGATGAGGTGTTCGGTCCTGGTACTGTAGAGTAATTCTACACTTTTTACATTGGTAAAATTTCTCACAAGGTGCTGGAACTCGATCTCTAGGGGTCTTTTTGTGTCGTTCAAAGCAAGCCTGTGATCTACAAATCCTCCCGCAAGATCGACACCCTAGTTGGAGTTCGGTCTCGAGACAATCGTGACTTAAACACACATCACAATAGGTAGAACATTTGTGTCTGTGCTTGTCAGTGTACGATTTCAGACAAGTATGACAGAAATAAGACCCTTGAAAAAACCCTTGTATGTTGGCAATGCCATGCCAATGTTTTTCCTCGTCTACCTCCACATGATACAAGTAAAGGTTGGGTTTGTAAGTATTTTCCTTTACTCTGATAAATTTGTTACCCACCCGTGAGGAGACAACATTTATGTTCACATTTAATAATACTTCAAATCGGTCAATGTCGTTTAACCCCAAATACCTGTGTGTGGGTACACCAGCCATTTGACATAACTCTGATGCCATTTTTGTTTGCATTTTCCTCCTTTTTTTTTTTAGAATATTGTCATAATACGTTTGAGGGATAGTTTGGTGTTTAAGTGCTAATTCAAAGGTTGTCCCCGACATATTTGCTCTTAGAGTTCTCCATGTATTAGAATTAACTTTTTTACATGTTTTCAAAAAGCAAAGCCCAATAGCAATGGCCATGCAAAGATTATTGTCGTTCTGCACTTCAAATATTGAGTATTTTCTCATCAAACTATTTCCGGGTCCAGTTAAGGTGGTGATGGGTAATTTATTTCCACCCCCTCCTTTTGGTATATCAATGGATCCAATAGTCACAAGTAGGTCACCATCTACCGGTACATCTTCATTTGAATTTAAGACTTTAGTGACCTCGGACATGACGGTGTCGGCATTTAAATCCTCCCACTTTCGTAGAGAGACCACTATAGCATTATTCAATTTGGGGTGTTGAATTACAACTCTGCCTAAATCAGAGTCGTCTCCCTTGGCTTCTGCCAACACATCATCGAACATGTCATGTAACTTGTCATAAATATCTATCAATTTCTCACCAGCCCATTGCTCATTAAATTTTAATTTGAAAGTCGTTTCTGTAGCTGTGTTCTTCTTAAATGTCCGTGAGTCTTTTTTCCAAATGTAGTATGGTTTTTTACTATCGGACATTGTTTGCCCACCCCCTTGTTGTATAGAAATGGTGGAAGATGGTTCCTGGAGTTTTTGTCGTTTTAAAGGGGGGTCGTCGTCTATCGTCTCCAAGACTTCCCTCCATAAAATATCTATATGATTGTCCCATAATTCCTTAAGGCGATTTTCAACTTCCGTGTGACCAGAAAGACCATGAATTGAGGCAAATAGATTTACAGTTTCAGCATCGGTTAAGGTAGCTAAAATCTCCTTCAGATGGTTATTTTCTGTCATTTTCTTAAAAACAAAAGAAAAAATTGAAAGTTATAAAAGACGGGGATTTTTTTTAATATCTTTCTTTTCTAAAATGAACTAGTTAGTTAAAACAACTAGCAACGTGGAGTAAACACTTTTTATTAACATGCTTTGAACATACAAATCAAAAAAAATAAATGTATACACCATCCTTTTGGTGTAATCAATAACAAAAAAACTGGATATAATTGTGGAGATATAAAAAAAAACAATCACAGATATTTACACCAGGTATCTTTTAACACAATCACAATTTTCAAAAAAAAGTTCTATACTCATGTACCATAAAAAAAATAGCATATATTTTTTAAAATGTTTTTAGAAACTTTTTCAATAATTTTTTAAACTTTTATACTAATTTTATATGCTATTTTAATAATGTTACAGTACAGTGGGTTTTTTTTGTAAAGACTAGATAAAAAAGAATCATCTTAAAAAAGAAAAGATGATAAAAAAGCATGCGTATAATAAACTAACTAGTATTAAACAAGTGAAAATATATCACTTAACAATCATTGCAAATCTTGTATATTGTAGACATATGGCAGCCTTTTTAACACAAATAAAAAAAGTTTGCATATTATAAACTAACTAGTAACATGTAAAACTATATCACTTAACTGTCATCGTAAATGTACATGATTGAAAATTATATCGTATACATAAAAATGATTTACTTTACTGGTTGGAAATGATATCGTATACATAAAAAATGATTTACTTTAATAATGTTGTAATAGTTTGATCGAAAAGTTAGTAACCACTTATTTTAGTTTTTTACTGAATAAAAAATCACCATCAGTACAAAAGACGATAAAAAAGCTAATCTATAATACACTAAGTACTAAAAAAAAAATGTATTACCTAAAAATTTTTTTTTAAAAACAATAACTACACTAAAAACAAAAACAAAAAAAAAAAAAAATTACCCCAATTAAACAAAAAGAGGATTACATCTATTGAGTAATATTTTGAACACAATAACAAATTTTGATTTTCATGGAATACACTTATTTTGTTTTTCGCTATGGAATGTACTTGTAGAAATACCTTTAGCATTTTTTTTAATATGGAATGTTATTTTTAATCTGGTAAAAGAAAATTAAATGTTGTAGTATTAAAAAAAAAGTTCTCTAAAATTTGAGTTACAGAAAAAAAGATTTCTAAAATGTGTGGGTGTGGGACAATTTTAAAAAATTTCAATTCAAAAAAACAACATAAAAGTGTTTTAACAAAAAAAGAAGTTTTAAACACCCTCACTTTCTGTAAAATAGCTGAAAATTTTGGGAAACAAACATAAATCTAGGGATATGTAAAGAAACTGATAAAAAAAAAACACATACACTGAATGTAGCATTAATAAATTTGTAAACAAAAAAAAGTTGTTCTTTTACATCAACTAACAACTAAAGGTATAACTACGTGAAAGAATTTTTTTTTTTAATTCTTAATATTTTTCAAAAAGCGGTGACGCTATTGCGGGTATGTACCTTTATTTTTATAAAAAAAAATGAAAAGGTGTAATTTTTTTTTTGGATTATGATGGATTTATATAAAGAAGAAACGCAAATAAAAATCGCCCAAAAAAATTGGAATACCACAGAAGTACATGATTAACAAACTATCAAAATCAAGTCACCATAAACCTTCCTTTTTACAAAAAAAGTTTTTAAAAAAAAAATTGAAAATATGGCAAGCTTATACATACATAAAATTATACGGTTGTATACAAATGTAATTTTTAGAAGAGACAGTAGTATGCAATATGGATTTTTTTTTGGTGGTTACAATATTTGAAAAACAAAAATCAACAGAAGCACATTTTTTTTTTTTTTTTTTTAGTTGA